CCCCAACATCAACCCGAGTCGTCACCCCGCTTGGCCTGAGTATGCAAGCCAGGTTCGCCCACGTGCCACAGTCTGTCGCGGCCACGCGTCAACCCAGCACACTCAGCACCAGCTCGTCGGATCGCCCGACTCTCTACTCACTGTCTTTCTGCTCGTTAGCCGATCCTCTCAACCGCACGAACTCCCGAGTAGATTAGAGAGACAATTAATCGTGCTTGCAGGATTTATAGCTTGCACATCCTCGTGCGATAGTCAGGATTGCCAGAGGAACAGGAGAAGGGAGGGAGGAAGTGGCTACGATTGCATAACTGGGCCGCGGCGTGGGGGACGTAGCCTCACTCCACGCTTCGATCCCGTCATGCATCGATCTGGCCAATGAGATAGAAAGTCGGGAGCGTATGTAGTAAAGCGGGAAAGGGGCATCAGGAACGGGAAAGATTATAGTTACACTTGTATAGCGGGGAAGGAGCAAGAAGAGATTACAGTTGAGATTAGAATTTGGGCGCGGCGGGAACAAAACGCGGACCCGGGTGCAGCAAAGTGTGCATAAGCGAGAAGCGACGTGCAGTTACAGGCAGAATTGCAGCGCGTTCATTCGCCTAATCTAATTAAGGTCCTAATTGCAAAAAGAAATTTCGAGAGCCCATATGGGCTCGTTTCAAATTCCAAAATTCCTAAAGAATCCCCCACGTGATAATCGCGCCAGAAAGACGGACCTCCAAGGAAAGGAAAGAAAAGGCCATAGTCGACGTTATTTCCCCGCACTGGCTAAGGCGCGGGCCAACTACCCCGAAGTCTCCAACCACCGCCTTCTTTTCCTCAAAGGGCCAAGGGAAAGAAACATCGAAAAATCAAGAAGAAGGGACCGCCATGCAATTTACCCGCGATCCCTTTATGCACCCCCCCAATCCCGGTGCGTAGGAGATGGCGCTCTACAGAAAGTAGTTCGTCACATATGTGACGCCCAGGGGGTTCCATCCCGTGCAAGCTCCTGCTTACACCGATATCCCTCTCAAGCGAGAAGAAAAGAAGAAGGAAGACGGAATTGCAATTCCGCGAATATCACACGTGTCATTACCGTACGATAAGAGTGTGGAAGTCATCCTGTTGACACGTTACCAGATCCACTCTCAGCGAGGCGGGTAGCATGGAAGTGATGGAAGGTGGACGTTGGGAAGGGGTTGTGGGGGAAGGAGAGCGGGTTATCGATCTGTCGGAGCGTCAGGAAGTCAAGGGGACGGCGGGATAACGATCGGGGACAAAGCCAGATGCCCTGCATCGCCACGTGCTCGAACTGGGGGACGGGGGGAAGGGGAGGGGGAGCGACTTCGTCGCCTCCGCGCCGGCGTGCCCAAAGTCTCTGCATGAGGGAGCTCATCTTCTTCCTTCGGCGGCTCGGGATCTCTAGTCGGATCGTCCAGGATAGGCAGATCTACTCCCACCGACTGCTCTAAGGGCCGCTTTCCTTTCGCTATCTCCGCCCTCCGTTGCTCAGCGTAGGATCGTCCTCTTGTGCTTCCGCTTGGTCCACCTCTTCTTCGGCACTCGCCCCGTCTTCTTCTTCTTCGTCGTCTTCTTCGCTCTCTTCGCTCGCCGCCCCCGACTCGTGGTCACTATACTCACTGTAATTTTCCTCCTCTTCAGAGGTCTCCTCCTCCTCAGAGGTCTCCTCCTCTTCTTCTTCCGCTTCCTTTCTCCACGTCGTTCCGTGTTGGAAGAAGAGAACGTCGGTTATACCCAGGGGATTTAGGTACTCTGCGCGCGACGGGTAGCTACCGTTCCCCCATTGATTCTCCAGACAAGCCGACCATTGCAGGTACGGCGTCAAACTCCGCGATAGACTGTGCGGCGCCGGATTCTCGTCGCATTGCGAGATGATGTCGATCGGCAGGTCGTCTAGCAGTTGCGTGAAGGGAATTAAAAGCTCCCCCACGATCGTCTGCCGATGCCCAGGTGCCACTGCTCCAAAGACGAATCCTATCAGGTCTCCTTCCACTTCGGTCCTCCAAGCTTGGATAATAAGTAGCTCCACATCTTCGTTCACGGCGCGGTGCTCACTGTCCCGGGTCCACGTTAGCTCGATCTCGACAAGGCACAGAGAAAGAGTCAAGCAGTGTTCACACCATATCTCCCACTGCAAAGGTTTGATGAGCGGGACTGCAAGTGGCCGCACGCGGAACGAGAGACGGGGATGGAGCGTTGACTGCCATAAGGTAGGGAAGACAGAGGGGAGGCTGAAGGTAGAGAATTGGGAGTGGTTCATTGAGGACGCGAGAAACGGACGAGCACAGGAAGAGAAATTGTCGGCTCGTGCCGGAGAGCGTGGATTCCGTTAACGTCAATACTGTTAGTACTGACGATGTTCTCCCCTCATCGCGCAAGCGACTGACTCCAAGCTTTTGCCAACTCCTCGCCTCACTCTCTCAACGAGGTGAGGATGGTCGTATGCGCTCTCGGATCCATTGTACTAAAATCCCCGTTGAAGAAGACGATTGTCGAGATGTGACCGATCCTAGGCGCCGAGAGCCGTCGATAAGCCGATGCTTCGGTCAGCACCTGCGCCCTGCTGTTGGGGACCACAAAGTGTCCATGGTGCCAACATTCGTTCACTGAGTATCTGCTCCGTAGAAAAACTCATGGCGAAGAGGAGGGAGAAGACGAGTGGGGAGAAGAAAGAGAATGGAGATCGTCACTCTCCTGCTCGGATTCCGAGATCGACCCAGCTGGGGAAGGAGGGGAAAAAGCTGAGAGATGGTGGAGGTAGGACACGTGGCGGACTATAGGCCTAGCAGACCTACTACCGAACACCTCGGGAGCAAGCCGCACCGTGTTCACACCGTTTGGACCGAGCTCAATCACTCGAAAGCACCCTTAGAATTGTGGCGCTAGTTTCCCTTGGCGAGCACATTTCCTTACCTGCACCAAGTCCCCTAATTTATACTGGGGTCGAGGGCCTGCATTCCCATTTCGGGCCTCATTGCTCCGAACCTGTCGATCGTGGGCCAATTCGGTCATTTGCTGTCTTTTTCGGGCCAATCTCAGAAGGGCCCGTTCCATGAGGTCCAAATGGCGCTTGGCTTTTTCCTTGGCTGTCGCCCTCGTGGGGCGTCGGTCCAGTGCCGTTTCATCATTCAAATTTGGTATCGAGACGCAAGATAGGTTGTTGGTTCGTAGCTGAAAAGGCGAAAGTCCGGTAGATTCATGCAGGGTCCCTCGATGTATGGCCAAGATGTGATCCACGATATCAGGCCACTGCCGCGTGTCCTTAGCTGCGATGTTCCGTCAGAGTGCCGTTTTGATTACCCGGTTGGCATTCTCCACGAGGCCATTCGATTGAGACATATGAGGGGTTGTATTGCGAATAGACACTCCATGTACGACCAGGTTCCTCATGACCTGCCCTCGGAATTCTGCTCCGTTGTCGGTAAGGATCTCCTCGGTGTCCTGATGCATCCCGAGGAAGCGGTTGACATACCGCGCTATTTCCGCCGTCTGTCTTGTTCGACACGGGTACGCCTCGATCCACTTTGAAAAGTGGTTGACGAATACCAAGAGAATTCAATACTCGCAGTTATTCGGTCCAGGGGGCACGACGATATTGGTCGTGTCCATGCTAACCCTATAAAACGGTTGTTGGACTACGGTGGGCACTATCGACCTAGGCGGCTGAATCGGCGCTTTGTCGGCTGCACAGACAGGACAATTTTTAACAATAAATTTGACATCGTTCTGAATGTTGGACCAGTACCATTTGTGTTTATCGATGGCTGCCTCAATAATCCTGACAGCGAAATGCGCCGCTGTCTCCTCATGCGCGGCCCGTACTCAGTCATACCTTACGAATGGGTGCAGTACCACCATCCAGATTCCGGTTCCGTCCGTTTTCCTTTCCTCCAACCGTCCCTCGTTCCACCTATAATCCTGTGCCCTCTCATTGGCCCGTCTCCGTTCCTCCTTAGAGAATTCTCGGAGAGAATTTCTGACAATTGTGGCTATTAGGACGACATTTGTCCATACCTCCGGCCGTCTAAACCGTAGGGTCTTTTCTAAACCTTCCCACGTCGCGTCCAGGAATTGAGCCTCCTTCAAAATCTTGTCGGTACGGCACAGGTGGCAAAGCCACGGTTTCTGAGAATTCCTATACTGGATACACGACCCGTGGGCTCTTGCTATGCACTTAGCACAATCTACCCATTCGACGTAACCCTCATTCTGTGTCTTAACTGAAACGGAATGGACCCGCGAGATGGACTCACAAAGAAGACAAAAACGATCGGGGAGGGAAAACAGAGAAGAGGAGGAAGGAGAGTGAGGGCCCTCAGCATTTCTTTCCCCTTGGGCCGCCATGGGGCCACGTGTCACTCATTCATCTGTCGAGGGAGAACCTTCGCCTGCCCGTACCCGGGTCCCTTGGACTGCTCCGGTTCCTTCCACGGAGTGATCTCCTCAGCTCGTGGCACCTTGCCTGGCCTGTGCAGACCTGTCAACCCGTCTGCATTCCCGTGCCTCTCTGTCTTTCGATGGACGATATCGAAATCATACTCCTGCAGCCTCACTGCCCATCGCCCAATCATTTCAATGTAATTTGTCAGCTTTTTTAGAGCCAACAAGGGCTCATGATCCGTTACGAGGAGGAACTTTCGCTCGTAGAGGTACTGGTGGAAGTGTTGAATTCCCCAGACCACATTGTAGCATTCCCCTTGAGTTGCTGAGTCGTTCTTTCTCTCATCCGGCACCGTCCGTGAAGCGTATTCGACCACGTGCTCCCGCCCGTCCTCCCCTTTCTGAGCTAGGATAGCGGAGATCGCTTCAGGTTGCCAGTCAGTAATGAGTAGGAACTGGTGCTCCGGATCGGGTCGGATTATAATAGGTGTTGAGACCAGGGCCTCCTTCAAAGTGGAAAAGGCCCGCTCGCACTCCGCGTCCCAGTTCAGCGGCTGGTCCTGCCGCAGGAGGTTCGTCAAAGGCCGAGCGATTGCCCCAAATCTCTTGATAAAGCGCCGGTAGTACGAAGCCAGTCCCAGGAAGGCTCGAACTTGCGTCAATGACGTGGGTGTGGGTGCTTCCCGAACTGCCTCGACTTTCCTCGAATCCGGTTTCAAGACTCCTCAGTTTACCACGTAGCCTAGGAACGAGATCTCGGACAGGAAAAATTCGCTCTTCTCCAATGCAATCTTGAAACCAACATTCCGCAGTGCGCCAAGTGTCCATTCAATGTGTTGCGCGTGTCTATGGAACGATTCAAAATACACCAAAATGCCGTCCATGTACACGATGACGCAAAAATTGATCATTCCCTGAGTTAACCTGGTCTTGTTCACGAAGTTCTGGAAGGTGACATTCATCGCCCTCTAAAAGGTTGCCGGTGCATTGCATATACCCATAGGACAACGAATCCACTGCCATGTGCCTTTAAACAATACAAACGCCGTCTTCAGCCGATCCTCTTCTCGTACAAGGATATGGTGGAACCCGTGCCGAATATCAAACGTACTAAAGAAGTTAGCACACTCAATTGCATCCAGCAAATCATCAATCCGAGGGAGGGGATATACATCCTTGATCGTGATATCATTCAATTTCTGATAATCGATGCACATACGAGTCGATCCGTTCTTCTTTGGGACCAAAACTACCGAGAAAGACCAAGGACCCGTAGCGGGCTCTATCCAACCATTAGCTTCGAGCTCACGGATGCGCTCGAGTGTTGCCTTTCGTTCCGCCAGCGAGTACCGATAACGCTTGCAATGAATCGGCGGGTGGGTACCGGTCTGAATCTTATGTTGGATTATCAAAGATAATCCTATATCCACGTCATCAACGTTGATAGCACCCCGGTACTCCGTTAGGATTTCTATGATGAGTCTATGAGTTCCGTCGGGAACGTATTCTGGCACGCGTAATTCATAGGGTTCTCCGTGAATGACGACCGTAACGTGTTTGGTATGTATTGCTTTTGAATCCCAGGGCGGTGGGGAGGAGATGAAAGAATTGTATGACCGTAACGTGTAATTCGTAGGGTTCTCCGTGAATGACCACCGTCTGAGCTTCCTCTTCTCGGATGGTCACGTGTTCTTCGGGGGTTATCCCATCCGCAATGTCCCGGGGGTCCATCGATTTTTCGGCAATCTTTATTCTGACGTCAAACAGCGAGGCTTCGGAGCACCCAGGGGGTTCCGGAGCCTGTATCTCCGCCCCTAAACGCAGCAACCGTATCTCTTTTTCCATGGTGAGAAGCGATCGGGGAAGTGACTTCGTAACGTCGCAGAAGGACCGTTTGTCCACGTATCGGGGAAGTAACGGGGTAGTGCCCTCGTACAAGGTCCGAGGGGGTTCCGAAGAATCGGGTTGTCTCGACACTTGTACCAGGGGTTCTCCTATAAACAGAGCCCAGGTTCGTTAAGCATTCTCTTCGGTAAGTACAAATGTCTTTGTCGTTTTCTGTTGGACTGGGTAACTAACTATCTTGCGTGTTAGTTCTTGGATCACCGGGCCTGTTTCGTCTTCACTTTCCGAATCTTCGGGAAGCGACGACGTTTGTTCTCCGGTAGTCGTTTCCGAATCAACCTTTTTTCTACCCATGTGATCGTTCGGATCGACCCGATCGCGCTTGGATGGTCCTTATGCGTCACGCCTGTCGTCGTGCGGAGGGTGAGACGCATAGGGATGGTGTATGGGTTGCCACCGGTGTTCCTGAGAACCACTACCCGCCGCTCGAAGTCCAGGTTAGCTTGAAGGGCGTTGAGAGTGGGAAGTCCAAGAAGCACATCGTATGAGGTTACATTGAGTACCACTACATCTCCCAAGGCATGGACTTTTCCTAGCCGAAAAGCGACATTGTTGAGTGGAATCAAATTTTTTCTTCTTCTCCCCGTTCCACTACTAGCAGGGATATGACCAACACAGCGGCTCCGGAATCTAGAATTGCACTGCAGGGGACTCCCCAAATTTCCACGTCACATTCTGCAGATTTCATGGAATGGCTTTAATACGTAGAAAGTAATCGCTTTTCTGGATGAGCCTCAGGCGTACGGGTTCCGAAGTTCCTGGCACGTCTGGTTTTGTCTCTTTTGCAGGAGACTTTCCTTTGGTCGCTGCCAGCTTGGTGAGTGCAAATCTTTTTCGATTGGCCTTGCAATGCTGGAGCATACGATCGTTGGCTTCTTCCGATATGGACAACAAGTGTCCAATCGGAAGCGGGATGCGGTGATCTAAGGCTCGGACGATGTCGAGAACATCGATCTTTCCAGTGATGAACTCGGGGCCACTGGATTCCATCTCACCGGGGGATGGTCGCCACTCCGAGATCTCTCGTTCGTCATCCACCGACTGGATCGCCCCTATCATACTCGGCCCCGGATATCCCAAGGAGAGGAACTGATCGAGTGGGATGAGCTCCGCGGCCTCGTCGGTAGCAACTGCTGTCGGTACTGCTCCATCAATTTCCTCTACTATCGTCCCTACCCGTCCAGGTCTGTTAGCCAGGGGGGCTGCCGCTGCTGGGGATGCCTCTATTCGTACTTGTCGTTGGGGACAGTCTCTTGCCATGTGGCCGGGTTGATGGCACGCATAACACGTGTCAGTTCGGGGAGTCGTGCTCGTACCAGCCCCCGTGGCTGTGGCAACAGGCGCTCCAGCAGGAAGGGGGGCGACGCGAACGTTAATGGGACGCATGGAGCGCATCAGCGATTTCATTCGCGCATTATACTCGTGCTGCTCCTTCTTGCTTTCCTGCATAAGGCTGACTAACGTACGGGTGAGGTCCAGTATCGCGTTCGATTCGTCCGCCTTCCCCATCGAGGCAAGTATCTATGTCAGCGCTCTTGTCGCTAAGGGTCCCGCTGTGGAGCGCATCGGTCCGGCACCGCACAAGGCAGCGCGGGACCCTCCCGGCCGCATCACGCAGGAGTTGGTCCAAAATCCTTCGTCGCAAATATACATGGAGCTTCCGCAAAGCCGCTCCGGCCGAGTGCGCCAGTCATACCTCTCGCGAGCCCCTATGACAGGATAGGGCCTACGTTTACCTCCACCTTAGGGGAGTTGTCACCTCCCTTCGGTGGGCGTATCCCCGCCGAGCTACCAATCCACAGTACGAAAGTTGATCAACTGCAATTGCAGAGGTGGACCAGCCGAGGGCGTTTCTCGTTCGTTGTAGCATAGGGGGTACGCGCGGTAATACGCCTCTATCGGACCCGCACGCGAACCGGCATCTTGGGGGGCTGAGGTCCCAAGCGCAGCTCGTCGTCGGTCGACTAGGACGCATTTCATACGCCACGCGCACACCACTATAAAGAACATAAAGAAAAAAAAAATAAGAACACCCATACACACTCATACACGAAACGACACAAAACAAACAACGCGACAACGGTCTTAGTCCCTCAGTAGTCATCCCATAACTTTCTAACGCGAAAATCAGACAGGCGTTGAGCACAAGACTCAGTATAAAACTGCGAGGACGCAGGGTCCTCTCATATCGACTCGCAATGCAAGCATGCGCAAGCAGTCGCAGTGATGACGTACTTTGTAGTGCTCATAATCAAGCGGTCCCTCGTGTATCCGAGTACCGCTTATGACACTCAAGTGTCAGACTCGAAGTATCGTGATGGTCTAATCCCTCACGATATTGCACGGCTGAAGGAATAGCCGTGCGGCCGCCACGAGACCTCCGGCCTTTGGCCTGAGAATCTCGGCAGGCAGGGCAAGTAGGCTCTACGCGGGGGCAAATTCCTTCCATGCAGAGCCTAGGGTTTGGGATGTCTTGGACAAGGACCTTGAATCTCGGCCCAGGACCAACGTCCGACTAAGAAATTATCAAAAAATATACAACCAACGGAGGGGTTTTCCTGCCATTTTTTCAACCTTAACCCCTATTTAACCCTTAATACGCTGGCCCCTTGGGCCGTACGAACTTCCAACACAGGTACATATATATTTTTTTATACACATATAAGGGGGGGGGATAATATGTGACAATCACTTCTTACAATCAAAGTGGGGCTCCTCACAACCATATGTATATGTGTGATCGCAGACAGTCAAATCCAAAACTCGAACCACAGAACATACCTGCAATCACATCAAAGAGTCAAACAAAGTCCACGCACTACACAGAGTCAACCCCAACCACTTTCTATACTCATACCCCTCACTTTAGCCATGCAAGCCCCAACCTCCAGCCAACCAACCATAATTGAATACTCAGTACCTTTGTTAAATGACCACTCAATAAAAGTCCGGGTGAAGCCTTAATAAAACAATAAAATCATCAGGGCTAAAGTTTTTTAGGTAGTATTGAGGGTGAGTTGGAATTGAGTCGTAAGCCGACGAATCGGGAACCGATCTATTATCAGTGATAATAAAAGGTGATCCTCGTGGGATCAAAGCTGAATCTAGTCCAAAAAATCCTGAATCGAATTGTTCAAAGAATGACCTGTAAGACGAAACAGGCCAATGTCCAAGCTAAACTTATAAGCGCACAAGGAATAATCTTCATACCCTGTTCTTACAGAAATTCTCCTAATAACCAAGCCTAAGTCTATCCCTGCGCACGTGCCCAAGAAAAAAAACAGACCTTTGGCATCATGTTCCCTACCCAGGGTGGATCGCTCGAATCGCCACCTGTCGAAATATAATCTAACTCCTCTAAATTAAGAAAATTTCGGCAACGCTTCTCGTAGGAACAGTGCCATCGCAGAATTTATACTAGCCTAAAAATCAAACTTTTGGATTCCAAAAAGTCAAAATTTATCTAACTCCCTTAATTAGTAAAATTTTGGGCAGCACTTCCTTTAGAAAGGAAAACTTTTCAGATTTATACTAAGCCAGATATTAACTCAAACATAAAATATGAGTCCTCCTAAGACAAAATTTAAACAACTCCTTAGATTTGTAGAAATTTCGGCAGCGCTTCCCGTAGAGAAAGTATTATTTCAAGATTTAGAGAAAACTAAGTTTATAATATGAAATGACTTTGACTCTTCAAGACCCAATTTTGTCTAACTCCCTGAATTAACAAAAATTTGCGCAACACTTCCTCTAGAAAGGAAGGTTTTCCATATTTTTACTAAGTCAAAGGGTCAAAGAGAACTGAATCATGAAGAATACAAAGTTTTGACTAACTCCTTGGTTTTGTAGAAATTTCGGCAGGGCTTCCCGTAGAGAAAGTAACTTACCAAGATTTATACAAGACCAAGTAAAAATAAAGGATCCTAGAAAATGCAAGAATTGATCTAAGTAAAATAAACTTAACTCAGAAAATGAAGGAATTGAAACTAAACTCATATGGCTTTAGCACGTGGCGAGCAACGAAAGCAACTATCTATCAACTGAACCTCAGACTAAGTAGTGGCATCACTAAGTCACATGCAGGCCAAACCACAAAGATAAGTACTTTCACCATCCCCAAGTCAACTTAGCAAACAATAATTCGTAGTCTTTCAATGATTTATCCCCTTATACCCAATTTACATAGGGCATAAAGCTAGACCACCCAAACTTATGGAACCTGTCTAGCCCATCCATGAAGTACACACAAACATAGGGCGCAACAACTTTTCTCTTCTTTGGGTATATGGCTAGGCCACCCTAGCCGCCCTGAACTTTTTAAGTATTCAAAATTTATATAATTGTCTGCACTTAATCTTTTGAGGTAGCATATAACTGAGCCGATCATCTTCAGCTCAAGACTCAGTCTTCCCCTTCGTACCACAAGTTTTATTCTTAGTTAATACTCTCTGCAGTTGGTGATAAGCTATAGTCAGACCACCCAAACTTATGGAACCCTGTCTGACTAGCCTGTTCATAGATAATATGATAATAAAGTATAGCCAAATTATAACCTTCTGGTTTCAGCATCTGCGAGGCGTTGGGCCAAGACCACCCAAACTTATGGAACATGTCTTGATCCTCAGCCTGGTTCATTTCTCCCAAAAACCAAAGCAGAAAGAGGTTGAGCCACCCAAACTTATGGAACATGCTCAGACCTCCTCGTTCAGGAACTAAAGAAACTGGCAGAAACCCAAAGTAAACAAGGCGACCAAGCCACCCAAACTTATGAAACTTGCTTGGTTCCTGAAAAGTCAACCACAATCAGCCCTCACAAGTCAGAGCAACCAGACCACTCAAACTTATGGAACACGTCTGGTCCTCCAGGCAATCCAAAAATAAACATAGCATTGGGTCTTCCCAAACTTATGGAACTGGCCCAACTTTTAGTTGACCCAATCAAACTTCATGCAAAACTACCTTTCTCCCACCCTTCCCCTAGATGCAATCCCACAATTTGCTTTTAGTCAGATAATGAAACTGAAACTGACATTGTTCATGCGTTCCTTTACTTAGTCTTGTCATGTCCTGAAGAGAAAACAAAAATCATAGAGACAGGCATGCATACGCCAATCAAACTACAGGGGGAATATGCAAACATGGGTATAGTGGGTTATACAGATAGAGATAGTTTACCTGATGGTTCCCTGCCTCTAGAACCTCGCCTAGGTTCCGGCAGAGCTCCCGCAATCGGCGGGCTGACTCCCCACAAAGTCTTGCTGCGGACCTACAAGTTGCAATCCCGCCTGCCGCCCTCCTTTCAGAACTGGATTAGACTTAGAGTAAGAAAGGCAGAAGATGGGGGGTTCAGACTCTCGAGATACAAGAAGGGGACAACTCAACTCTCAGGAGAGGGCCTTGATACCTTCATTCGCCTGAGGGTCCCGCAATGGCAACCAATGCAAGAGCTTGGTCAACTCTGAAGTCAAATCGTTGAGATCAACCCCCTGACGACCTCCTAGTTCGCAGCATTAACTTCATACTCGTCCAGTCTGATCATCTCCCTGAGTCTCAACACCTCTTTTCAGCCCAATCATTGCCGCACAGCAGTCTGTAACAGTCCTTAAACGCAGCGGCAGTACTCAGCGGTGGTCAATGGCAACAGCAGCAGTCGCCAGCAACAACAGTTTTTAGCGGCTCGTAGTTGTACGCAGCAGTATGCAGTAATCAACAGCAGGCACTAGCAGCAGCATCCAGTACACAGCGGTGATCAACAACGATATGTCGCAGTATGCAGCTACCAGCAACAATATGCAGCTGCAGTTTGTGCACTGCCAACAACAATTCTCATCAGTAGTTCATGCACAGTCAATCAGCAGCCGCAGTTGTGCACTGTCGAAAACAGCAACAGCCGTTCATGCGCAGCCAACGAACACAACAGTAGTACGCAGCGGCAGCCTTCAGCAGCTCGCCGCATTACGCAGTAGCAACTTGTTGTATATAGAGGGGAATATAGCAATGCATGGTTCCTCAGTAAGTATTTGTGCAACTCAGCGCCATCAACCGCGTGTGGCGGCGCAGTCCATCCCTTGTAGCAGCCCAAACCCCAAGCACCGCAGCAATAGCAGGTTATGGACGCACAGTCTGGCACCTGCATCAGTCCAAGCTATAGCCAATAGTGCAGGAGGCGCCCTGAACTGATAGGCGGCAGCGCCGGTCACTCTTATTGTCCACCGGCAAGGGGAGCAACATATCCGCCAACCAATAGGCCTCGAGCTATACAAGGCTGACTCACGGTCAGTATGAGAATTGGCTGCAACACACAGTCCCTGCTTTGCTGCTCAACGAGCATGTACTCACGCAACCGAGCCCTCCCGTTTGAACACCGATGGACGTGCACCGTAAGTCATTTGTCTCCTCCACTCCATCTTCCTCTGCTGTTAGTCTCCCCCACATCTTCCGAACTCCTCTAGACAACCCCCTCTGTCGGATACATGCACTGTCCCACACACTCAGTGGTTGAGGACGAACACCGATGACTGGTATCAGGAAGATGGTG